TCTTCCTCGACCGCAGCGCGCGCGCGCGCGCGAGCGACGCCTGGAGCTCCGCGTCGTCGTCGTCGTCGCCGAGGCCCGGCAGGAACTTGGCGCCCGTCGTCGGCGCCGGCGCCGCCGGCTCGCCGCCGCGGCGCGGCGCCGCCGCGGGGAGGTCCGCGCGCGCGGCGGGCGCGGCCTTGCCGAGGCCGACGTCGACCTGCGCCTGCGCCGCCGTCTGCGCGATGGCGTAGTTCGCGCGCTTCGCCGCGGCGTCGTCGGCGTCGCCGCCCGGGGCCGCGCGCCGCGTCGCGCGGGACCCGCGGTCGCCGCCGTCGTCGGCGGCCTCGAGGCCGTCGAGCACGCCGCCCGTCGTCGGCTCCGCGAGCGCCTTGCGCCCGGACCCCTTGCCGCGCCGCTTCTTCGCCTTCTTCTTGAAGAGCTTGGCCGCCTCGTCGGCCGTGAGGTAGTCGCGCTGCGCGGCGAAGCCCGCGCCGTCGACGGCGGACGCGTTCCACTTGCCGCCCGTCTTCAGGGACTCGCCCGCGTCGCCGTCGGCGCCGAGCTCCGCGCCGGACCGGCCGTCGCCGAGCGTCTCCGCGAGGCGCGCGATGGCCGCGCCGGAGAGGTGCGCCTGGTCCGCCACGGAGACGACGCCGCCCGCGCCGATGACGAGCTTCGCGCCCCGGGGGCCCCGCGCGTCGTACTTGGCCAGGGGCCCGCCGGCGCCGGCGACGGCGCCGCCGCCGTCGAACTCCCAGTCGTCCGTCGCGGTGCCGCCGGCGTGGAGCAGCCGCTCGTCGCGCCGGTCCGCGAGCGTGCCCTCGCGCTTCGCCGACTCGGCGCGCTCCTGGTTCACGAGCGTGCCCCCGGAGCCCTTCCGGAGGCCCACGAGCTTGCCGTGCTTGCCCTCGTCGTAGTCGAGGATCTGCTCGTCGGCTAACGTCAGGATGAGCTCCTCGCCGCGGCCGACGGCCGCGCTGTGCGCGGCGACGCCGAGGCCCTCGAGGTCGCCCGCGTCGTAGTCGGACCGGTCCTGCTCGAAGAGCAGCCGGCTCCGCCGCTCGGCCTCGAGCTTCGCGAGCGCCGGCGCCGCGCGGCTCCGCTTCACCCAGGCCTCGGCGTCGAGCTCCTCCTCGCCGCCGTCGTCGCCGAGCGACTTGCCGCCCGCGACGACGGCGCGCGCCTCGCGGCGCCGCTTCGCGCGCGCGAGCTCGCCCTCGATCTCCGCGAGGCGCCGCGCCTCCTGCTGGGCCGCGCGCGCGAGCGCGAAGTTGCGCTCGGCGGCCTCGCGCTCCGCCGTCGCCGACGCGGACGTCGACGAGTTCAGGGGCTTGAGGCCCAAACGCGCGCGCAGCGCGTCCGTGTCCTCGACGCTGAGCGACACCTCGCCGTCGCCGCCGCTCTTGAGGTTGAGCGTGTCGCGGAGCTTGGCGTAGTCGACCTTCTCGTCCGGCGCGGCGGCCGCCGGGGCGGCCGCGGGCGCCGGGGCCGCGCGCCGCGCCGCCGCGCGCTGGTCCTCGGCGTCGCGCTCCTTCTCGCGCTTCCGCCGCTCCTTGCGCTCCTTGCGCTCGCGGCTCCGGCTCCGGGACCGGCTGCGGGACCGGCCGCGCGGGGCCATGGCGTCGAACGTGCACTCGGGCGCTCGGGCGGCGGCGGCGCTCCTCGACGGCGGCGGTGGCGAGCTGAGTCCTCGGTGGGGATATCCGGATGGTGGGGTAAACTTCGCGATGTTGACGAGCCGGGCTGGGAGGAGCTCGAGGCCCGGGCCCAGCCTGCGGCGCCCTGTGCGGCGCGCGGAGCGCCTCGACGACAAGCCCCCGGGCATCGGCGCCGTCAAGACGGCCCAGCCGGCGCCCGAGGCGGCCGCCGCGTTCGCGCCGACGATCTAAGAACTTAGGCCGGTCGCGCAGCGGCGGCCGTGGGCATGGACCCGTAGAGCGCGTGGACGTCGCTCAAGTTCTTGATGCTCGCGACGCCCGTCTTGTCGAAGACGCGGATGGC